TGGGGCTGTCCCGGGAGGATCGAGAGGTTGAGGGCTAGGAAGAACAGGAGGAGCAGGAGGAGGAGGAGGAGGAGGAGGAGGAGGAGGAGGAGGAGGAGGAGGAGGAGGAGGAGGAGGAGGAGGAGGAGGAGGAGGAGGCGGAGCGGAGGCGGAGGCGGAGGCGGAGGCGGAGGCGGAGGAGGAGAGGCGGAGGAGGAGGGGGAGGAGGAGCAGGAGGAGGAGGAGGAGGAGGAGGAGGAGGCGGAGTAGGAGGTGGAGGAGGAGGAGGAGGACGAGGAGGAGGGGGGTGAGGGAGGAGGAGGGGAGCAGGAGGAGGAGGAGGAGGAGAGGAGGAGGAGGGAGGAGGAGGTGCAGGAGGAGGTGGAGGAGGAGGATGAGGAGGAGGAGGAGGAGGAGGAGGAGGAGGAGGCGGAGGCGGAGGAGGAGGCGGAGGAGGAGGAGGAGGAGGAGTGGGGTTGCGACGTCGGACCTCCTCGGCCCTCGTGCCCCGCGTCCGTCATCATTGTTGCCTCGAATTTTTTCCAGTGCCTTGGGCGTTTACGGGCAACAAAGTCAAGGGTCCATGGATTTCTGTAATCTTAGAACGATGTTGGCCCTCCAGGAGGACTTGTTGGCTGACGCTTTGATTGGCGCCTCTTGGGGTCTTCCTGGGAGCTGCCAGGTGCCTCTGGAGGCAGTGCTGGGCCATCCTGGCGGCCTCGGAGGCCTGCTTGGGCCGTCTTTGAAGCTTAGAATCGCCTAATTAGGAGAGCCACAGGCCGGCGTCGGGTTGCCCAAGGAGCTTGGAGAAGGGGTGGCATGCATTGGGGAGTGACGAGAGGGGGAACCCTTACAAGAAGACTCACAGCCATCCTGCCTGGCATTGGCCTTCGCGCCACGGGGCGCGGTGGCGGATCGTATTATCAACGACGTGTGGCCAAGGTTGGCGTGCGGGAGTGCTCGTGGTGATCGTCTTATCCGTCGCTCTCTTTGGCCCCCAAGAGTTCGGAAACATCGCCCTGTGTGGGTGCTTGAAGGGTTGCCGGGGTGTCCTAACCAGCCCTACCTCCCGAAAATCTTCGGCCCTTTAATAATCTACCCCCGTAAGTCCCTTGGAGGAGGGAGTCGACGCTTCCCTCCTCGCAACATCGGAGGAGGGGAGTTCGATGCCCCGCCTCCCCCCCTCCCTCTCGCGCGCTTGTGAACGACGACGACACGAACACGAACATGACTGCGACGGTGACGACGCTGACGACGACCACGATCACGACCACAACCGCGACGACGCACGACGACGACGGCGGCGACGACGACATCGAGCACGGCGAGCAAGACGACACCACTGATAATTACGCTGACGTCGACGCTGACCATGGCGACGACGCTGACTCTGACTACGACTTTTGGCTCAAGCGATTCCGATCGAGGCTGCCACATCGCGCGGCGGCCTTGCGCTCGCTCCCTGTCAGGCTTCGCACTCGTCCAAGAGGCCCATCCGGCACTATGCGTGAGGCGATCTGCATCCACATTGGCCAGGCAGGTGTGCAGATTGGAAATGCATGCTGGGAGCTCTTCTGCCTCGAGCATGGCATCCAGCCCGACGGCCAGATGCCCTCCGATAAGACAATCGGGGGCGGTGACGATGCCTTCAACACGTTCTTCTCCGAGACTGGTGCCGGCAAGCACGTCCCCCGCTGTGTGTTCGTCGACCTGGAGCCCACGGTGGTCGATGAAGTGCGCACAGGCACCTACCGTCAACTGTTCCATCCGGAGCAGCTTATTTCTGGTAAGGAGGACGCCGCGAACAATTTCGCGCGCGGGCACTACACAATCGGCAAGGAGATCGTCGACCTCGTGCTCGATCGGATCAGGAAGCTGGCCGACAACTGCACCGGCCTCCAGGGCTTCATGATCTACAACGCCGTCGGCGGAGGCACTGGCTCCGGGCTCGGCTGCCTGATGCTGGAGCGCCTGTCCGTGGACTACGGCAAGAAGACGAAGGTCTCCTTCACCGTGTGGGCGTGCCCGCAGGTCGCCACCGCAGTGGTGGAGCCTTACAACACGGTGCTCTGCGTGCACTCTCTCCTGGAACACACAGACGTGACCATCATGTACGACAACGAGGCGTTGTACGACATATGCCGCCGCAACCTTGACATCGAGCGTCCTACTTACACCAATCTGAACAGGTTGCTGGCGCAGATCATCTCCTCGTTGACTGCGTCGTTGCGCTTCGACGGTGCTCTGAATGTGGATATCACCGAGTTCCAGACCAACTTGGTACCCTACCCGCGCATCCACTTCATGCTCTCGAGCTACGCACCAGTGATCTCTGCGGAGAAAGCGTACCATGAGCAGCTGTCAGTAGCGGAGATCACCATGTCCGTCTTCGAGCCCGCATCCATGTACGTGAAGTGCGATCCTCGTCATGGCAAGTACATGGCATGCTGTATGATGTACCGTGGAGACGTCGTGCCCAAAGATGTGAACGCAGCGGTCGCTACTATCAAGACCAAGCGTACCATTCAGTTTGTGGATTGGTGCCCCACAGGCTTCAAGTGCGGTATCAACTACCAACCTCCTACTGTGGTTCCTGGCGGGGACCTGGCTAAGGTGATGCGTGCGTGCTGCATGATCAGCAACTCTACTGCCATCGCAGAGGTTTTCTCCCGCATCGACCACAAGTTCGACCTCATGTACTCGAAGCGCGCTTTCGTGCACTGGTACGTGGGTGAGGGCATGGAAGAGGGTGAGTTCTCCGAGGCTCGCGAGGACCTGGCGGCGCTGGAGAAGGACTACGAGGAGGTGGGCATCGAGACCGCGGAGGGCGAGGGCGAGGAGGAGGGCTACGGCGACGAGTTCTGAGCAGGCTGCCACATAGCAGCTGTACAGGAGAAGCGCACACACAGTCGCGACAGGGTACTTGCAAGCTGCAAGCGCATACCGTTGAGAGACAGCGTGCTTCTCCGTTCACCGTCAGAGACCAGCATGCTTTTTACGCGGCAGATCGGCGTGCTTTCCACG